CTCATTCCCAGGACATCAAATACACACTTTGGGACCTTGAGAATGAGAGTCAATCACTCAAACGACAAACAATCAACTATCTTCATATCTTCATAAATGTTACATACTGCTACTTTTTTGCAAAAAAAAAATCTGGTCTATGACAGGTCAAAATGAGAGAGGGAACTCACTTGACACGCTGCTCCTCAGCCTTCTTCAGCTCGGCGTCTCTTCTCAACACAGCCAGGATGGTCTCCTGCTCCTCCTCCGTCAGAAAACTCAGATCAATCATGGTGACTGCTGCGTCTTCGTCTTTCCACTGCTCTGACTTTGTGTCTAGCGGTTGAACATGATCACCGCTTCACGCGGTTCTTCATGAAGCTCCCAGCGGCCTTGTTCTGTTTGCACAAGTTAAGATAGTGTCAGCCGTTTACACAAGCTGGCTGATCTGTGCTTTATCTATCGTATGAAATGACTGCACTTATTAAGGCGCTCCTTGTTACTCTTCTGCAGCTTTGCTGGTTTTGGATAGGTTTTGTTTCAGCTGGGCTTGTTTTCTGCAGCCATGATTGAAACTTTCTAGACCACTTTAATCTGAAAGAAAATCAAGGAGGAATTCTATCTGAGATTCACATTAGAATCCGAGAGAGTCTGTTCGAATATGTCAGCTTTGGATTTGAGAAATTGCGATGGGCATTTGTCACCATTTCAAGTGATTTATTGAAAGAAGGAATTAGCTGATTAATCAGTAATGAAAAACCCTAATTGGGAGCAGTTTAATAAACCTCACAGATGAAAATGCAACACTGACAGCTTTCGTATATTTAGTAGTTTTTAAATATGATGATATTAAACCATATGGTGCTGTTTTTAAGTTACTTTGTTTGAGATCAGAATAGACTTTTTAAAGCCCACTTTACTTTGCTAGATTGAGTGAACACAAGTTAAATTCAGTATAAAAGTATATTCATTAACTTCCCTGTCAGGGTCTTGTAGCTGACTATCTTCCTGGCTAAACACTGATCTGCTGCATCACAGCAGCCCAAGAAGATGAGGCTTGATAATTGGACTGTGCCATTCTGCTACAGCCAGAGGGGTATTCTCAAGAGCCACTTCATCTATGACCACACCTTTTACGGATGAGTATTGCTCTTCTCTCTCCTGCAATTTACTCTGGACTGGCCAGCATGGATGAAATAATCCTGCAGTGATTTCTTAGTAAGAGAAGCATCCACTATATTTCTTCAACTAAGCTCTGTGTTTAACCTCTGACGCAGTTCTGTTGAGTTTAAATGATCTTTCATTTGTCACTTTGCTTGGCTTTGTTACCCATCTTAATATTTGTAAATACTTTGAGTGAATACAAGTATTATTTTTCCACCTTTACCTGCTGTCCCAGTTTTCTGCTTAATACTTTGTACTTTGTTACTGTACTTAAGTA